TGCAGCAATGTGAAATCAAATTAAAACAAAATATGATGACTTTTGTGACACTCCACGTAGCCAAACCTTTTATATCATATTGTATATCTGGGTACACGGGCCTTTCTTAACTTATCCAGATCTTCCCTGAAATAAGACCACAGACAGGAGGAGACCATTATTCAGTCATATCGAATCACAGGATTTTCACATTCACAGAATGGAAATTACTAGAATTGTCCAAAATTATCTCTATATTATGCTAGCAACCTCCTGAGGTATTTAATACAAATTTTAACAACAATGGAGAAGTGAAGCTACATATAGCAATTTTAATTCATAACATGTGTATACATTAAGGAAGTCCAGATGACCAGTAACGTTTTTATGTCACGGTAAGGTTTGCATTGATTATGTATCCAGGTTCACACTTTAACATTGCTGACGACAACTATTTCTTCAGAGGTTAAAAATCCTCATACCATTTTCATCATTTGGACTCTTCATATTAAACTTGTGGGAAACAAAAAGGAAACTGTATATCAATACAGTTATCCAAAATGACCTTATCTATCATTACCCAGGAGACTGGTCCAATTGAGGCTATAAAGGCAAAGTTGGAATTTAAAAATACATATTAAATTCACGTACACATTGTAGTAATTGCACACCCTTAATACCAAATCATCTACAGAGAAAATTAAATGATATGATTAGATATGCCTAGAGAGGCACGTCAGTTTTAGCTATATATATTTAATTTTGTGTAATATACTGAGATAATTATAATTAGAGCTATTTGTATTTATTAGAGCAATTTTGTTATATTTTATAACCTTGTAATATGCTGTATTATTTCACTTAGTTTAGTTAGTTACTGTACTTAGAGTCTTGGAGCAACTTTGACCACATAATTTCTGCTTTGAAAGCAATGTTTAAGCCAAACCTGATGTTTGCTTATAAATAAAAAGAATGGTTCCTGGTGTCGTCCCTACAGTGAGAAAAACAGTTTTTAATTCAAAGCTAGCACTGGACATGCACTCAAAAAACGCTGAGTAATGATCTATGTAAATATGGTAAAAATCTTCTGTTGTCAGTTCTTTAATTTAATGCTGTAATTCAATAAGTGTCTTTACATTACTGAAATATAATGATG